TAAGAAGCCCTATCCCCGACAGATCCCTTTAAAGGAACCCTAAACCTCCCGGGTTCCCGGCGCTCTCGGCGATTCTTCGAGCCAGGGACGGTGCCAGACAAAGCCTCGCCGGGGCCTCGCCTTCCGCCAGGGCCCCGAGCGATTCCACCAAGGTCACCACATCGCTCCTTGCGCTTTTGGGGGAGATTTGAATTTTTTTAGTGTTTTGCGTTCAGACGTAGGGTTTAGAGTTTAAAGGGCTCTTTAAGGGACTTCCGAAAAGGGATCGATGAGGCTCTTGCAAGTTCTATGACCTGGAGCTCAAAACCCTAAAACTCCATTTTCTACTAATATCGGATGGTTTTGGGGGGTATTAGAAACCCGACGGATGGTGTTACTAGCTGCTTAAACTGGAAGTTCGGAAAACAGGTTCCGTAAAGGGTCTGCAATGGTTCTTACAGGGATATACGGCCGGTTACGGTTTAGGGCTGCGTTGGGGTTCGGCGTCGTGGTTCTCAGGGTTTTAATGGGTGCTATAGAGTCTTGTTGATTTTGGCATAAGACTTCGAGAAGCAATCTCAAGCTTTGTGGAGCCCTTTATGCTGGGTTTAGGGTCTTTGCGTCGAGGTTTTTATGAGGTTTTGGTGTTGAGGACTCAGGGTGTTTACATCAGAAGACAGTCAGAAGATAAAGGGATCCGAAGGCCCCTCACAAAAGGTAGGCTCCTTACATAAGGATCCCGCAACGGACCGTTTGGCTGCGACAAAACACACGGAGGGCCTGCTTGAAAGCCTGACATAAGGGCTTTCATGGTTAGACTGCGGTTTTAGGGTACCCTAAAACTAGAGTTTTAGGATTTACTATCTTTCGTGCATTAAGGAACCCTTTATCCCTCGTCCTCTAGACAACGGAGTGCACGGTTTTACATTTGGCGAACTGAATGAGAGCTTGGATCTATAAAGGCTCCTTTGCGGCATCTATACGGGTTCAATATAGGGTTCGATACAGGGTTCCATTATTAAGGGGGGCTTGCGGCATACAGGGTGCGCGGCTGTCTTGCAAGCTTTTGCGGGGTTTGGGGGGATGAAGTCCTGGGCTGCCGCCTCAAGCCTTGCAAGTTCGGCTCAAGCTTTAGAAGCTTCACCTGTTTGGCTAAGAGCTTGGGGTACACAGCCTGGGGTCTACGGTAATGTAGGAACCTGATTAAGAAACCCTGGGCCTATAACCCCAATATAGCAGGAGTCATAAAAAGTAACCCCAATAAAGCCCAAGGTTTCTTACCCAAATTCCTACATTAACCGGTCTTCAAAATCCAGCTCACGGGTATGTAAGATGGGCTAACACCTCCGGTCCTGACACGAGAACGGGTCATTGCGTCGAGCACAGCTAGTGCATGTTGCCACCGGGACCCGCGTCGTAACGCCCCCAAGCAAGCATTGAAAGAGATAACGTCAGCAAGGCAATGCTGAGAAGTCATCATCGCCAGTAAGCGTGTGGCATGCGCCCACTGGCTGCTCCGCTGACAGCAGCTAAGCAAGGTATTGTATGTAGTTGTGGTGCAGTCAGTTCGTACGTGCAGCATCTGCGCATGCACAGACAGTGCAACCGTCCACTGTGCCGATTTGTCGCATGCCTTGAGGAAAGCATTGTAAGAAATGGTGTCTGCATCTCTTGCGCTGGATGTCTGCAACATGCGGAGACACATTTCCCACTGAACTGCTTCAGCACAGGCCGACATGGCGGCATTCAGCGCAACGACGTCAGGCAAGACATGGCGGCTTTGCATTCGCCCCAGCTCTTCCAGGGCCAAGGTCCACTGCGCGAGCCTCGCGCACGCGCTCAACACGGCGCTGTAGGAGATCACGTCTGGCCTCCAGCGCCCGTGGTCTTCCATCGATTTCCTGGACTCTTGTTCAGGAAGTTACTTTAAGGTACCATAATAGGGGGAATATTCTTACGTGCTACAGACCCCTATTACGGTAACTTAAAATAAATTCCTTAACAAGAACCCAGCTTCAGTAGCAGAAGTGCTTGGTCAAGCTGCTCGGCCTCGCCGCAGGCATGCAGACACGCATTGAAGCTGACTCTGTTGGGCTTCAGGCTGCTTTCGGGAGGAGTCTGCAGCATTGAAATCGCCAGTTGCCATTGGCACGACCTCTCCAGACTGCTTAGGAAGGTGTTGAGAAAGATGGTGTCTGGCAGGGGCCTTGCAGCCCTCAGGTCGTAAAAGATATTAAAACTCCGCTGCCATGCTCCGGCTATCGTCGCCATGGCCACATTACTCCTTAGTTGCTGAGTTCATAAGCCCCAAAAAGTCTCTAGTGGGTAGTATTATCCACAAAAATGTGCAACGTGTATCCACTCAGCTACCAAGACTCAGAATTCGGTTGGGCGGTGCTTGGTGCAGCAGCTGCAGCGACTGTGTCCAGGTTGTCATGGAACCCAGTGCTGGCGCATAGCTCTGAGAATCGGGGCGCATGGCCACGCTGGACATCCAAAGCAGCAAGTTGATAGTACGATGCCAGCTTTCCTGCTGTCCCGAGAAGCTCAAAGCAATGTTGCAACAAATAACGGACAGCTGCATAGAAGCTTCTTGAACTTGCCAAAATATGGAATAGGCCAAATGCCAGGCACTTGCCTGGCATGCTTGAAGCACAGCACCACAGCAAACTGCGTCTGTCTCCAGGTTGCCGAACTTTAGCTGATTGTACGTGGCCACCGCCTGCAGCCGCTGAAACTACTGGTGGTTGCATTTTTTCCGCTGGCCCTGGCCCGTGTAGCGGACGTTATATGCTTAGTTCCACATACACATCGAGACTTGAATTACGGATTTTCGCAGCTTTATTGGATGATGTTCTTGTCAATCTACCTCATGTTTCAGAGTTTGCAGACCTTTGGTCTGTGCTGAGTACACTTCACTGCCCCCTCGAAAACCTGGTGTCAAGACTTGAACGTGTTAGCTGCACGCCTTCCATGCGGGAATCTCCAAACTCGCCCTGCACAATTTCAATTTTCAGGTTTTGTAGTTTAAGGTTTGAGGTTAGACATGTTCTTCACCAGAAAAACCCCGCCTCTTTCCACTGGCTCTGCCGGCCGGCAACCTATCGGGAGCTGTAGGATTCTTGCGGCTTGGGGTTGGAGCTTTGCAACCCCAACTCATAAGGACCCTTAAGGGGGGGTAGGGGGAGGGGGGCAGGGGGCCTGAAGACCTATAAGGACTTAATAAGGCGTGTTTAAGGAAGTATAGTCCCCTCTGCCCCTCCCGCTGCCCCCCTAAAGGTCCCGATGACCAACCTCAACCTCAAAAGTCTAGCACGAACTCTCGGGGGTTTCGGGCGTAGGCTCCCCTCCCACCTGCAGATGCAACCAAAGACCAGTTGAACGTTTGAAATGGACGACGCAGCCCCGAAGAACTCCAGTCAGAATGAAAGCAGAAGTCAAAGATTGTTGCTTTTGACTCTTGCGAAAGAAACAGCGGTACTTCCGGTTTCACCGTTCAGGGTTTGGGGCTGCTTCTGCTCAAGGCAAGACGCTTGGATGGATTTGGTCGCCGAGCCGATTAGTGACAGCCGCGAAGGATGCGGCATGGCCAGACACGCCACTTGGAAGGGCAGGGGACTTAGTAAGTAGGTTATAAGTAGGGTTATAATTGGGGTAACTCCATTTAGGGTACTTATAACTCTACTTATAACCTACTTACTAAGTCCCTAAACCCTAAACCCTAAACCCCATAGATCCCTTTTAAGGAACCCCTAATAGATCCCTTTAAGGAGCCCTACTTACTAAGTCCCCTGCCCTTCCAAGCAACAACCCGAAGAGTGGAATCCCCTCAGTGCAAAGCCTCAAGAGCCCCAAGCCCTAAGCCCAAAGCCCAGACAACGACCTACACCCTGAACCCGAAAAGCCCCGACACGGAAAAATTGAAGGTTCAGGGTGTGGGGCTTAGATTTGAGAGGGTTGCCAGAAAAACTTGTGCTGGGTCATGTTCGTATGAGAAGCTGCTGCGACCAGGGCTTGGGTCAGGCAAGCATTTGGGAAGGCAGCACCGAACTACGGAGTTCCAGGTTTGGGGTTTAAGGTCCAAAGCAAGACCTCCACATGCAACTAAGCGTGCGGTCTCAGGCCAGAAAAGACCCGCGCTGGTCTTTCAACAGCGAACCCGGAAAACAGCCTGTTGCGCTGCCACTCAGGCAGTTGGCTTGGCAGGGTGAAAGGACCCGGCTATAAAAACTTCGTAAGCCCTATGCCATGCTTGAAGCATGCCAACAACCCTCGACCCCCTCAACAATAACAATCATGACAATCTCCATCGTCCTGACAACCTTCATCACCATCATGGTAATCAGAACACTCGCAGTCCACAATCATAATAGCCATAGCATTCTCAAAAAAGCAACTATCTAAACTTGATGTCGAAACTATAGGTTCATTTACACATTCTAGCATAACTTATACATATGATGCTGTATAACTTAATTGCTTTTGTTCATGAACAGTTACTTAGTTACTAAGCCTGTGTACATATACTCAAGAGCAACAATGAATATCGCACGCACCTTCCTGAATATCATGATAATCATAATACTCGAAAAGCCACACTAGTCATGAGGATCACAACAACCACCACGATGCTTATCATGATGCCATAAACCCCATAAAAGCCACAAACCCCTTAAACCCCGTAAAGCCCAGAAACCCTCGAAGCCGTGAAATCAGCTATAAGCCCTGCAACCTTATAAGCTTTTGAACCCCCAAAATCATGATAGTTATGGCCTTTCCCTGCCGCCAGAGTTCCTGTTGGAAGGGGTTGGGGTTGGGCTCCTGCTCTTGGTAGGTTTCAAGGTTTGTGGGTCAGAGCCCACGGCTAAGGGCTTATAGGCTTGTAGGGGTTATAGGCTTACGGGGCTTAGGGCTCCGGGTTTAGGGCTTCGGATCACATTCTGGGGCATCAGGCCACAACAGCCGGCAGCAGCAGATCATCTTTAGAATTCTTGCGGAGCTTCTCAGAGAGGCGCTGCTTCTTACAGCGCTTCATAGACCCGAGACCGTTGCCTACGGATTCGCCAGGCAGCTGCGGCTATGACCAGTAAGACCATGATGAAGCACAGGATGCTGGTCAGCCCAGCCTTCGTCGCCCGGCTCCAAGAAGGAAGCTTTCCTGAGAACTTGTAGTCCTCTATCAGCGAGTGCAGGAGGCATTGCCGCGTAGCCAACTTGCCCTTCTTGTCCAACAACGCATAGTCCAAGGCATCCAAGTCTTCGCACCACAGACGCGAGTCGTCATGTGGGCAAACAGCGCAGTTTTCATCAGGACATGAGGTGCCCGCAAACATATCGTTGCTGGACGTGATATCAATCTGGGCTGCCCAGGAGTCCAGGCACTGGTTGAAGAGTGTGGCTCCGTCGAACATGTTGACGAAATCTCCCACATTGGATACATCCCAGGAATTCAGAGGGTTGTTGAAAGCTGTAGCTCTTTGGAAGGTGCCGCGCATGTCGGTCACCTGGGATGTAGCCCATTCTCCAATGGGTTGGTTGAAGGCCACTGTGTCTCTGAACATGGTTCGCATGCTGGTCACGCGGGATACATCCCAAGACCTAATGTTCCCGTTGAAGCCTCGGGCGCCGTTGAACATATTGACCATATCGATCACCTGGGATGTGTCCCATGACCCAAGATCCTTGTTGAAGGCGAAGGCATTGGCAAACGTGTTTGACATTGTGGTCACCTGGGACGTCACCCATGAGCCAATATCTTTGTTGAAGGCTCTGGCGCCGCTGAACGTGAAGGACATATCTGTCACCTGGGATGTCTCCCAGTTTCCGACCTCTTCATTGAAGGTGTTCAGGCCTTGGAACAGGGCGAAAAAGCTGGTAACTTTGGAAACATCCCAATCTTCGATTGGTCCATAAGTGCTCTCGATGGCGGGTCGGTTGCCTGCACACGCGGCGGAGGCTAAGGTTTTGGAATCTTTTCCATTTTGAGGGTGCACTGCCAATCGCTTTGCTCCGGCTTATCAATGCCCCAGGACGGCCAAGATTCTAGGAAAAGTTGCAGTCATGCCCCTTATGGCAATTGACAATCGAATCAATTCCATTGATTAGCCTCAACTCCTCTACAGAATGAGACCGGTAGAAGAATTGAGCAGTCTGAGCCAGACATGTTGATGTCATCGACACACCGACATGTTTTCTATCTCTCACAAGTCGTCTTCACGTGAACACTGTTTGGCTGGTTTTTTCTTGAGGCCCCTCCCTGCCTCGGCGAGGGCCTGAGGGCTACAGGCTAAACCTCCCGAATCTTTGGCCTATCTCGTGCTCATGATTCCCGAAAACACGAGTCCAAACTAGTACATCCCAGAATACTACACTGAATGAAGAACACACTAAACTACAGAACCCTTAAAATCCACTATGTGGACTGGGCCCCCTTTCAAGCAGTTGTGTTACCGAAATTATCTTCAGGAGTGTCTTGATGGTCATTTCTCTTTGTGGGCAAGAGCCCAAGGAACTGGGGCTTGACCCTGGCTGTTTTCAGGGTTTGGGGTTTAGGGTTTACGGTTTACGGCCCAAGATCAACATCTGTTTCTTTCTAGACCACGACAGTCCGTGCCTGGATTGTTCTCCCAATCAAGCAGGGTGTTTCGCAGCTCATCTCTGTCGCTGAAGGCACTGTAGCCGTCGGCAGCAAATAACTGCTGCACAAAAAGCAGAATTAACAGCTGCATGGCTAGGAAGTCCCAGTTGTCAAGACTTAAGACTTAAGCCAACTTGCTAAAGAATCAAACTGTTTCGGAAGGCTGCCGATGTTGCAGAACACATGCTAAACCGGAAAGCCCCCGGAAGCCCCAAACCCTAAAATACGCGGCAATTGTGCAGGACTTTGCAGGTGAATAAGCCTGAACCTTCTTGGCCTCGAGGACATCCTGGTCCACGTCCCCACACGTTAAGAAGTTTACTGTGGGGTTTCAACGGTTCAGGAAGGTTTATAGGGTTGAGGAAATTGAGGAAGTTTGGGAGGATCAAACTACACGCGCAGGGCATTTGTCCGCGGAGTTCAGGCAAGGTTGTTGCGCTGATAGTTTGCGCCACTGGAAGCCTAAGCGCCCATATGAACAGTTGACGTATGACAGTCGTCACATTCTGCAGAGCTGAACCAAACCCAAACAACTCCTCCTCCCGTAATCCGCACTTCTTATAGCCGGTAGATATCAACCCACACATAAACCCAACACAAGGAGTTGTTGCATATGGGGCTTTCATAAAATCAGGTATCTCTTTTGTGCAAAAATCATTACTATTAAGGGTGTGGGCTCGTCTGGGCCTGGCCACATCCACTTCATGATTACTCTCCGCCCGAGCATACCCCGGGAGGGTGGGTTGAGGGTTCGGGTTGAACCCAGGTTGTAACCCCGGGGCCGGGTCCAAGGTGCGGGGGTCCAACAACCTCAACGTAAGGTTGTGGGTTCGGGTTAACACCAACCCAAACCTGAGGTTCGGGCTAACCCGAACCCTGCAAAGGTCAGGGTTGGTGTTAACCCAACCTCAGGTTAGAGTGGGGTTCAGGTTGTTGGGCCCCCTCCCTTCGAGCCGGCCACCTTCAACCCCTTCGCTCAGAAAAACGTCTTTTCCACACATAAGAAGGAGAGAGCCAAAACGCTCCAAGAGGTTAAAAGTTAAAACGGTTAAAAGCAAAGAAATAAGAATTTTCGAATGAAACGTCTTCTCCAACGAACTAGAAGGATTCAAGTAGGCGCCTTCTGGCATCCCCAACTCCAGTTCCGCTCTCTTAAGCCGCGAAGACCACACATCAGAAGGAGAAAGCCAAACGAAATGCTGCCGGGTGGGTTTAAAAGCAAATCAAATTTGGAATCAGGAAGGAACGTCTTCTCCAACAAACAAGAAGGCTTTAAGTAGGCCCGTCTGTGCCCTTCCCCCCAACACCGCTTCCCGCTCGCGTCACGACTAGAAAACCACACATCAAGAAGGGAGCCACACGAAAGTTGAAAGCAGAGAAATCAAGAATCAGAAATGAAACATCCCGGGAGAAGTGACGTTGCTGTTCTGATCCCAGATCTGACCAATGGCCCCATAACACCATGTGACTCAATGCGAGTTTTATCGCAACACTCTGCAAACTCACATGCTCATTTTTTTGGCGTAGCGCGGATACCTGTCCAAAACCTTGGTGAGCTCTTTTCCAGCCTGCTGTGCAGCATTCAAAGTCTTGCGCAGCCTTCGCATGCTCGTTGCAGTGTTCATTTCATGCAATCTTTAGAGCTGTGGCACATCTTCAAGCCTGCACAATTGTTGGAATCTGTTTTCGAAATGTGGAACTGGCTTTCTTGGACACGAGGTTGCTTCACCCGGTCTCATTGCGTCTTGTTAACCACTACGACTGCTACAACTACAACTACTACAACTTATATTACTGCTATTGCTGCTGCTGCTGCAACAACTTCCACCACTACAACTACAACTTCAACTGCGACTACTAACCACGAACGACTACAACTTGTCCTGCTCCTCCTTCTCAACTACAACTGTTTCGAAGTTGGGGCTGGAAAAAAATTGTTCTTTCTTGTGTGTGTTTTCAATCTCCACAATCTCATTTTATTTTGCCTCAAGCAATCGTGTGGCTTCTTTCTTCCTAAAAATTGTGATTGTTCGATCGAATTTCCATCTTGCATCCAACTTTTTCTTTTCTGCACCTTGCATCCTGGACCTTGTTGCAACACTTGCGTCTTGCAACCTTGTTGCACCTTGCGTCCTTGCAAACTTGAAGGCTCCTTTTTCAAGCAGGCAATGTCGAAACTTTCCAAAAAAACATTTTGTGGTTTCCAGATGAGGCCTTGTGTTCAGCTTGGCGGTGCGGGTTCCCGTTGCCAAAGCTACCGCCCTCTGCCCGCTCTGCTCTTGCAACATCGGTCTCAGCCGGCCCTCTCCTCTGCGAGCCTGAGCCTCCCCGGGACACCTCCTCGCAATAGTCTTCGCTCAGTGCTGCCCCGAGATCGTCTCTTTTGTCTCCTCTTTCAGGTAATTCTGTCCAAGACCTCTTGCTGGCCTCTAGGTCCACTGCAACAACCTCTCAGCAAGAGGCCGCATCGAAGACTTTCAAAAGCCCCTTTGCATCAGAGCGGCCGTGTCCCTCCTTCCGCTCTGTTTCTGCTGCGGATCCCCTTCCTGTGAATCTTTCGTAGACAAAGGCAAATGAGGCTCACACAAGCGTGGTCACCGTCGGACTCCCGTCGGTCCTGCGAGATTGCTTGGAGCAGTCCTGGCTGTCGGGCTTGCATCCAGCCCGACGCCACTTCTGCATTGCATTCTTGTCGATCTTGAACACAGTCCAGCTCCGCATCGCGCGAGGACCTGGAATGTGGCCTTCTGGCTTCCTTCCAACCGGCCCGGTATGGAAGATTGGGAGGCGTTTACGGCAAGATAGGGTTGCCACGCTTGCCGAAAGGCCCTGCGAGCCGCCATTCTCAGAGCTGCTGCTCCTAAGCCGCTGCCAGAACTGAGAGCCTCTGCAATGACATCCTCAGCACCGCCGATTTCCGTCGGCGCCCTTCCGGTTGCGCCTGCTGCTTTCCGCCGTCTCTTTTGCTATGCCTGGCCGACTCTGCGCCTCTGACACCTGCCAACGTAGAACGAGCTACCCGACACGCTGACCTGCTTATTGTCTCTGAGAAAACACGGCCGGTAATGAGAAGTAACAGAGCTTGCTGACGCATTTGGCGTTTGGCTGGAGATCCAGCAGGGCCGAGCTTTGAAGAACCTCCTCGAGGTCCTCTTTGACGAATGAGTCAGAGTTTGCACCACCTCCTTTCCCCCTGGCAAGCTTGCACCTTACGGAGGTTAAATAAATTTAATGGCTTTTTTTGGCGTGAATGGGCCTCGGTGACAGCGGCTGCTGCGCTCGGTCCCTAGAAGAAGCAAGAAAGTAAGAATAAGAAGCAACAAAGAGCTGTACAAAGTGAAACAAGGTGGCTGCGACATACAGACTTAGCCGGCAAAGTCGTTCAGCATTAATTAAAGTGCAATCGGGTCAACTGCGCTCACCGGCCCTGCTTCCCGTAATCTTGGGTCGCGCAATGGCAATGCACAAGGCATGGCCCCGCTTCCCGTAATCAAGGGTCGCGCAATGGCCCACATATGCAAAGCCGCCGTCCCCGTCGGTAGGCTGCCGAACACGACTGTAGTGCAGAATCGATGGACCAAGAGGAAAAAGGGCCCTATTGCGCGTCCCACTCAGTCAATCAGCCAGAGTAGAAGCCAGAAAACAAACATTGGGACCTGAATACGCACTGCCTTCTGCCCATGCGAGATCCTCATTGAGGCTGCATGGCCGGATGGCCAGGACACGCGCACCAATGAGGTAGACGAGTGCCGAGGGAGGTCATGAAGCGTTGGTCCACGTTCCGCGCAGCTCCTCCAAATAGCAGAAAAGAGCGGAACCATATGTCAGCTTCACAGCCATCACAGCGGAAAACTGCAGCAGCAGCCTCACGGCCGAATGGCCAGGGCACCCGGGCACCCATTCCCATGAAATGGAGCACGCATGCCTAGGGGAGTAAGCGTACTCCTGGCGCACGCACCGCCCAATACCGCTCGGCAGTTCTGCGCAGAAAGCGCCGCCAGCTATCTGCTTCCGCCATGTGTTCATCGTTCAGAGCGTACAAAAAGGCCCATTCCTTGCGTTGGTAGCGTCCCGTAAGCTGCGGCTTGGTGAAGAAGAGGGGCGGTGAAGTTGTGTGGTACGCGGGAACGAGCCTGTAACCCATAAATGGATAGCGCAGGCCGTCAGCCAACCCGCCGTGCTCTTGAAAGCGACGAGCAGCCTGCACCCAGGGTGTACGGGTCATATTGGTCATGGGCCACAGCAATGTCTGCAAAGTCACGGAGCACGATTTCCGCGCAGATAGAAATGCTCCGGGTACCAGAGACTGATTTGCCGAGTCCTGGCAGCCAGACTGCCAGGGCGGCCTGAAATCCTTTGAGCTGGTTCCAGTGGCGGACACGTGCTAAAGCACCCCGTCAACAGTCCTGCAGGCTGCAAGCACAACTGTGCTGGAGGGCCGCAATCCAAGCAACTCTTCTGATAGCCGCAGGTATATCCGAAAGCGGCCTTTGTACTGAGCAGGGTGCGTAAAGTTTTGCGGTTGTACCTGCGGGTGATGCAAGGCAATCACGCCGGTATCCCATGAACGCCGTTGGCGTTCAATCCTCTATAGAGCTCAGCGGCATTATAAAGGTTACGGCGATGCGCACGCCTGTGGTTGTTCCTGCCCTCATCAACCGCCAGCCGATCCGTGTCACGGAAAACCTCAACAACCTGTAGCTGAGGGTACGACTGCGGATGGTCAACCAGGCAGCCCAGTACATGGAGGAGAACTTGTCAAATGAATTTCATGGCCCCATTTAGGACCTGAAGGAGTGTACAGGAGCTTCTAGTTTGGTCCCTACCAAGTTCCCGCAAGAGATCGAGCGGTCACCAACTGAGCAGCAAAAATTGGACTGCAAGCAAGTTGCTTCAGTTCTTGCTCTAAGTCGCAGACGCCGGAGTGAGGCACAGTTGCAACAAATGGAAAATTAGATTGTAAGGCATGCGATTTGTGTTGGCAACCTATGTCGAATCAAAGACGCTTTCCGATGTGCGAAACTCGCAGCGCAAGCATCTTCATTGACCTTCTCTGAACCCAAAAACCCCAAAATCCTGTTGTTGAGGCAC